TTTGAAAATTGTTTGGTCTATAACTACGGAACCGTTTATCCGTTAGAGCCGAACCCTTTACCCTTTTTTCATTTGCTGTCCACAATATGTGATAAAAACGGCAACTTTGGTCTTGTTTGATCTATATCTCACCACTCACTTGAGATGAAGAGTTCTTTTTCTCACAAGTGAATGACCATTATTGGACCAACAAAATAAAAAAAGAAAATTTAAAATCGGTTGAACAGAACAGGTTTTATAAGCAAAACATTCTCCGACAACCAACGGTACAATGGTTCTGCAATTCACTCATATATATCGTGCCGAAGTTCAGAATTTTTAACTACACATTTAAACAAAGGATTATGATTACAATAGATGTCCATCTATTACGATGTTTCACCTCCTTGTTAACAAAATAAAAGATGAAATAGAAAACTAAAAAATGAAAAGAGACAGTTACTAAGCTAAACTGCTCACTTCAAGATCAACATTTGATAATTGATCTTACTGTATGCTGTATGAGAATGTCTCATTGAAAACATTGTCTCTTTTATTTCACTCCCTTTCACACTAATATCCCTAGTCAGAATCATCTGTTTATTGAATTGTACAGTGTGATCTTTATTGTGAAGCATGTGATCGGCTGCTGAAGATGTGCTCTCTTCTTTGAGTTTATTCTGACGAAGATGACTACAGCCTGAGAGATTCTACATTATTAAATAAAATAATAAATTTAGTTGAGTTTTTCATTCAAATATTGTTCACGTTTATCAAAGTTTTCTTAATAGACAATACCAGTGTTTCTAGCTAGCTCGAAAACATCTTAAATTAAAGTAAACGAACAGTCGTACACAAAACAAAGTTCACTTTATAATTTCGTTTTCATTTCAGAAAATAGTGGAATTACTGAAACGTTCTACATTTTTTTTTTAAATTTTGTCTTTTTCTCTATACAAGTATCGGTAATATGGCTCTGCCTTATCGTAAGTTTTCACGCTTGAAAAATTCTGGTATGAATATTCCTTAACCAAACTGTTCACTAAAAATAAAGGTATCCTACAAAACTAAAAATGGGTATTTCAATTCCGGGAAACCAAAATTATTAGCGAAAAATGCAAAAACCTTCTTTTTTTGGTTGGTTCTGAGAAGTTAGAAATACCTCGATCCGTACTTTTTCTGTACTGTAGAATATCCAAAAGGTATCTTGAAATATCCAAAGTGTATTTTCAAATACAGATAAGAGTATTTCTAACTTCACAGAACGAAAAAAAAGAAGATTTCTGCATTTTTCACTAATAGAAATCAATTTTGGTTTTCTGGGATTGAAATACCCTTTTTTGATTTTGTAGGATATCTTGTCGTTTAGAGGACAACATTTCCTGAAAGTTTTAACGGGTATACCATAATAAACTAAACGCTTTTATTCTTTATTTTTCAGACACTTTCCAGTAGTCCAAAGAGTTGGCTTTAGACTCATTCGATAGGAAATTGAATTCTCTACAAAACCTACTATTTCAATCTCTTAGAACATTTTTCTTGTTTAAACACCATTCAAAATATTGAAGAGGTGCTGAGTTGTCGAACTGTGATTCACTGAAAATAGAAACATATTTGCCCTGATCGAAAAACAGATTCCATAAGAACTTTGAAAACATCAGAAGGTTCTCCAGAAAATTCTGCATCTTCTCGTATATTTTTCGAAATTTTTCAGTTAAATCTTCTAGGAAAATTTCTCGGTGGAAAAAGTTGATAATTCTAAAAAAACCTAACTTTTGAACCTATTTTTCACAGAAATTAGCTTTTTGGCTATAAAAGCTGTAAAACGTTCTGAATCCAGACTTTTAGTCTTATTATCTCACATAGAATTAAATTTTGCGTCTTCTGATATCCAAACAAAGTTTCTCCATTGAAACCATTAATTAAAAAAATTAATTTAATTTGAAAAAATTGAAAAACTGGTTGAGAACTAATTATGAGATGCCAAATTCTCTATCTTTCTACTTACCTAGAAAAATGAAAACTGCAGACAATGAGCTAAAAAACGGAAAAAGCGAGACGCCAGGAGCACGCCGTAGTTCGACAACTCAGTACCTCTTCAATATTCTGAATGGTGCTTCAAAGTATAAAAGATTCAAATAGTAGGTTTTGTAGAAAATTCAATTTTCTATTGAATGAGCCTAAAACCAACTCTCTGGACTACTGGTAAGTGTCTGAAAAATAAAGTAAAAAAGTGTCCAATTTATTATGACACACCCGTTAATCAGATCGAATGTACTCTGGTCGAGATCAGTCATTAGCATAGCAGAATTTAAGAAAAGCAAGTCAGATAGTGGCTATTGAGATCACAGATCATGATGAAGCTAAGGCAGTATTCAAATCGTTACAAGTCACTTTATTATTGAAACGAATGCTTGAAATGTGAAGTAGTACAGACGTTGTCTTATTAATGTGGCTAAAATTTGATTTTCTTCGAAAAAAATGAATATTCTGAACTCAACATATTTGTTCTTGATGGAAGAAAATGAGTTTTTATCAATATGCTATAACAATAGCAACAGTAATTATAATCGGAATAATCACTGTTTCATCATATAATGACTCTAAACATTACAACAATGTATATAGAGTGGAGTCGAGTAAAAGAAAGATTTTTGGACAAAACTGAATGTCTCTGAGCTCTCTACGAGCTTTTCTCATGAAACAGCATTCAATTTACGGAATGTCCCGTACCACCAAAATCAGGACATTAACGAGAAAACAAGAAAGATACGCTCTCAGGGCTTTCCGTAAACAGAATGCTGTTTCATGAGAAAAGCTCGTAGAGAGCTCGGAGACATCTCATTTTGTCCAGAATCTTTAAAAGAAAATCTTTATTCTACTCGATCAAACTGATCGCTAAAACGTTCAGCCATATTTGTACACAAGAAAGCCAATAAATACAGAGGGGGAACGTTTTTTTTTGGGCCACCTGGTATAAATTTCAATTACATACCTGAAAAACTGTTTGCATCCGCTGATACTAGAGCACGTGCTTGATACATATAACTTCTTAATTCGTACTTATAAGGCTCTATATTTGTAATTAAAGTGTAAAGGATGAATATATAGATATATTATTGTTATTATATAAATACATACCTTTAAAATGTAAAAACATTCTTGGAGTATTTATTTCTATTATTTCTTTTTTTGCATCAGTTTTTCCTTTATCCTGCTCGTCTGTAGATGGTGTTGCATCCTTAATTAGAGTGTGTGTGTTAAATTAAATTATCTATCGTGGAAATTAAAAAAAGCAAAGATCTATTACCACTTGTGCTGTCATACGAAATACAGCTTGTGTATATTCAGGTGACTCAGGTATCATTTTCCGATGCCAACGTCGTCGTCTAACCATATCCATACTACGTTCATCAGCATGAAATTTCATATTGAACATGGGTGCATATTCCCAACCATTTTTAAGTCCATCTTCAAATTCTTTGCTCTAAAATAGACAACATTTTACTATTAACAATGATCTACGCCCAATTAAGAATGAAAGAGAAAAAAAACTAACAAACGATTGGAAGTGAAAGGTACGTAGTGCAAAGTAAAAGTTGTGAATTGTTTGTTTCACGTACCTTAGTTTGACTCATTGGTAATATACTTGATGATTCTGGGCTTGTAGTAGGCTCCTGTAAACCATTAAAAATAATGATAAATTGCATCAATAGAAGTAGAACTTACGAGGAAACTATCCCAACTGATCCAACACTTTCGACTCCATATTTTGATCATAGGTAGACCTTGTTGAGACTAAGGAAACTCTAAAAGCGTTCGTGCCATGGCTCTTGAAGATCCGGTTTTCTGGAAAACCAGTTTTTCAGAAACCCTAAAACATAACCAAAACCTTGTTTAATAACACATAATTATAGCCCGTACATTTCTGATTAAAACGAGACATCTCCCAGCTCTACACAACCTTTCTTTGCAAAGTTATAGAATTTAAAAGAAATGCCCTAAATAATTTCTTATTTCTGTAGCTTTTAGGACTTTGCTTGTAAATTCTATAACTTTGCAAAAACAGGTTGTGTAGAGCTGGGAGATGTCTCGTTTTAATCAGAAATGTACGGGCTACAATTATGCGTCATTAAACAAGGTTTTGGTTATTTTTCAGAGTTTCTGAAAAACTGGTTTTCCAGAAAACCGGATATTCAAGCGCCAGGGGTACGAACGCTTTTAGAGTTTTCTTAGTCTCAACAAGGTCTACCTATGACCAAAATATGGAGTCGAAAGCGTTGGATCCGTTGAGGTAGTTCCCTCGTTAGTTTGATATTAATTTTTTTCTAACGGTAGGCAGATCTTAAAGTATTACCCACGTTGTTTTATTATTATTTCCTGTTTCACTGAACAATAGTTATTATCAAATGACCTTATCAACATTCACTTGCAGTACAGAACAAAGTAAATTTAGGAGCTCTTTATGGACTCGAAACTTTAAGTTAAGTTCAGTCTAGTCCATATAAAACTCTGATAAACACTTTTATGTGTAACAAATTCCACTTCGATTAGAAAGCTGTGCATTTTAGATCGAAAATTTCTTCCATTTTCTGCAAAAGATTGAAAAAATTTCTGAATTGAATATTGAATCTAATCATCTACACATTTTCGGAAAAACTCGTAAAATGATCAACACTGTCGATGAATGTACAAAAATAAATAGTTATTGCTTCATTCTGGCATGTCGAATAACTTATAAATAATGTAAGAGATTCTCAATAGTTTTAATTAGTGAAAGACATTACAGAAATCCAATAAGTGTCATAGTTATGTTCATACTCGTCTATTTTGGGCAGTTTTGTCTACTACTCTTGTTCGAAACCATCGGCGTCGACGATTTAAATGAAATATTTTATCGGTTGGACACCATCCACCTAATGTTTGATTAACACAATATTCATAACCTAAACAAATCATTTATCAAATAAATGCTAAAAAAGATATTATCATATGATGTGTGCTTCTTTTACCTTCTTCATCAACAGCACGATTAATATCAACTATCCAATCATCTTCCCATTTCCAACCCTCAGGAGGATTTATTCGTTCATTTTTACCCGGTACTTTATCACCTGCCTATAAAAATAATCAAATTTATTATTAAAACATTTTGCGTGAACAATAGTAGTTTATCTCGATTATGCTGATCATCTGGATAGTTTTCATCTCGCTTAATTCTACAATTATTCATCGAACTATTTTTCTCATTAAAAACTAAAAAACTAAATGAAAACTAGGTTACAAAGTAGCTATTTAACGCTTAAAACTTATGTGTATTGAACGAGAGCATGGTCAAAAATAAAGTTTAATGGAATGTTTTTCATTAAGCCCAGCGCCCCGCCCCCCCGGATCAGAAAACTATCTCAGCCCAAGTAAGTCTAATATGAACCAAAATTTTAGGGAATGTTGACCATGTCAAAGTGTGGCAACGAAATGTCTTTTTGGCGTCACTTACAACTGTTCGTGAGAGGGCGCTACAACAAGGGCCAAAAGCAGGAGTATACCACGCACAAGAATTCGTATTCGCTTATGCAATACAAATACCAAAAAGTCATCTTTTTACTAAGAGGCCTCTGGAAAACTCGCTGCTATCTGATCTAAATTCTATCCTATCGACACAAAAATTATGCCATTGGAAAGTAGACACTTTGGGCTATCCAACCATGTGCTTTTCTCAAAATCAATATTTTTGACGAAAATCGGCATTTCTGACCCAGGTAGGCCTCAAGCGTGTTAGTTCAGACGAAGGTGTACTTTTTTGGAAATATCGATATACACTGCTTAACATCTGAGATAACCATAAAAACAAATGACCAAAATGTGTGATTTAGTTAATGAACATTTAGCATAAGATAGCTGGTTCATAAAGTATTGATGGGTCATAAAATACAAGAATCGATATTTACTATATCTGTCCAACCATTTGTCTTTGGTTGCCATTGTGCACCAGCTAATAAACGACTTTGATGTTCATAAACTTCTTCTGTAAATTTGTTATGACCAATATCATCTGCATATCGGGCACTGAAATAATATCGCTAAAAATTAGTCTAACCAGATATTATCAGCTATAATATGAAAGAATTAAGTTGTGCTAGTTTTTCAGCATACTCAGCACAGTAGGCAATTTTGACTAGGCACGTGGACATATGCTGTAGAAGTGGTACGTAAGTCTATAAACACGTTTTTTATAGGTTTTCGAATATGCCGTTTCCAACGGTGAGCTTTTCGAAATCCAAAAATAATTTTTCCTGGGTTTTCTGAAGACC